TCCAGGAGAAGAACCAGAACAACCAATCCCAACACCTGATTAACCAGAGGAAGATCAAGAAGAATCATCAAATCCACCTGTTTCTCCTGATCCTTTAGTATTCCCAGAGGAACACGAAGAATAATTCGGTTTCGAAGAAACTACACTTCCACCTGTTTCTCCTGATCCTTTAGTGTTCCCAGAAGAACATGAAGAATAATTCATTTTCGAAGAAACACCCCTTCCACCTGTTACTCCTGATGCTGTACTATTTCCAGAAGAAGAAGAATATTTCAATTATGAAGAATCACCACTCCCACCTGTCAGTCCAAATGTAGTATTGCCTGAAGAAGAAGAAGAATAATTCAATTTTGAAGAAACCCCAATTCCAAGAATATCCCCACTTCGTTCTCCATTCTCAGAAGAACATGAAGAATTCGTCTTTGAAGAATAACCTGAGGAAGAAGAAGGTCCACGTGTTTGCCATTCATCTGAATCTACAGATATGTTAGAATTGGCAGCTACTTAACTTGACCCTGAATTTACTAGCACACTTACAATTATAGGCCATTATGGTTTTGGTTTATACTTCTAAAGATTGTAAAAATATCCAGCCTTAGCTGAGGGCACTGAATTCCATTTAGCCAGTTTATAAGATAATGGTAATACAGTTTTGGGAGTATTTGTAACTAATACAGGTGTTAAATGTGTTACTGCTGATGGAACGACATATTAATCTACATCTGTACCGAATAATGACATTGAAGGTGATTGGAGTTTTGTATTCATCAGTCACGGTTAAGGAGTTACTGGATGTGGAGTCAAATTCTTTGAAGAATAAACAGCTTTGAGATAAACTCCTGCTTCCCATCCAACATACACTAGTTTAGACTTCAAGATTGGTGGACCATAAGATTCTCATCCATCCTTCTAAGGAAAAGTATATGGACATTATGCAGTTTCAGCATCAAATCTACGCTTCACAAGTTAAATAAAATATAATTTACTGGTTTATCCATGCAATAGTCCTCCTGAAGAAGAAGTTTGTGAATAAGAGACTGATGAATTAGGAGATTATGAATTTTATGGATTTGAGGATACATCTGATGAAACATTTGAATTTTCAACTTGGGATGCTGGTTACTCTGTTTCTGGTTGGATCAAATGGGAACCAATAGAAGATTAAGATGTTTGGCACACTGTCTTCAGATTATCTGAAAATCCAGATGCTAATTTGGAAGAGATTAAATTAGGAGATAGAGATTTGGCTGTTTATATTGGTAATTATATGGTTGGAAATGTATTCTAATTTACTACTTACACATATTCAGGATCTGGTAATCCTAATTTGTGGGACTCTCTCAGTTATGGAGTAACCTTGGGTCAATGGCAACATGTTTACTTTGGATATAACAGAAAACTTAGATTCGCTAGTTATTCTATTAATATCGTGACTATAGAGCAACCATTGGTTGGAGCAAATTAAATTCATGATGCTCGCCATTATCTTGTACCTTGGAGGAGACTCTACATTGGTAATGATGGTTTATACCCTGCTTTCAGTGGACAATTCTATAATTGGCGTGTCAATCGTTGTATTGGTTATCCTGCTCGTGATGTTGTATATTCACCAGATGACATACCTTTTGGATATAATCCTCTCCCTGAAGTTCCTGAAAGTCGACAGATTCCATAAATTGAAACATTTGCATCCCCTGAAGAAGAATAACCATNCACTTCCACCTGTTTCTCCTGATCCTTTAGTGTTCCCAGAAGAACATGAAGAATAATTCATTTTCGAAGAAACACCCCTTCCACCTGTTACTCCTGATGCTGTACTATTTCCAGAAGAAGAAGAATATTTCAATTATGAAGAATCACCACTCCCACCTGTCAGTCCAAATGTAGTATTGCCTGAAGAAGAAGAAGAATAATTCAATTTTGAAGAAACCCCAATTCCAAGAATATCCCCACTTCGTTCTCCATTCTCAGAAGAACATGAAGAATTCGTCTTTGAAGAATAACCTGAGGAAGAAGAAGGTCCACGTGTTTGCCATTCATCTGAATCTACAGATATGTTAGAATTGGCAGCTACTTAACTTGACCCTGAATTTACTAGCACACTTACAATTATAGGCCATTATGGTTTTGGTTTATACTTCTAAAAATTGTAAAAATATCCAGCCTTAGCTGAGGGCACTGAATTCCATTTAGCCAGTTTATAAGATAATGGTAATACAGTTTTGGGAGTATTTGTAACTAATACAGGTGTTAAATGTGTTACTGCTGATGGAACGACATATTAATCTACATCTGTA